CCCCAAAGTAGGTATTGGGTTTATAGATTTAGATTATTATTGTTAATAGAATAAGTATAGGACCACTAAAGAAATACAAATAATAAAGAAAGGGCAAAGCATTGTTTAACTCTGAACATTTGCAGACAGCTTGGAGATATTATTAGTTCATTAAGGAACAAAGGGATCAGGAGTGTCATTTGAAAAAAAAAAAGGAGTGTCATCTGTTTGACGGAGCATCATATTAACACAGATAATTACGAGTCCGGTGTTCTTGTTGTTGTATGTCTGTTTCAAGTTTCCCGGTGTTCATTTTGTGAAGATAAAATACCTACACGAGGAATACTTTATAAATCCTAAATGACTGGGCGAGAATATGGAAATCAAGGGTCAACGGGAATTAGAATTTAACTTTTCTTTTTCCTTTTTAATCATCGCCTGTGCTTTGTCCTCCTCAGAATGGACACACTTGGGCAAATTCAAGCGGTACGACCTGGTGGCCTAGAGAGCAGTATAATAAGAGTCAATGCTGTCATCTGGGTTTTTTTTTTTTTTCCCAGGGTCTTCAGTGTAATTTTTGAAAGTGCTGTATTTAATAAAGATGGTCACCTGTAGCCTGGTGACAAATACTGAAATAGCATGAAACATAAAAACGTAGGGTATTAAAAGAAAGAGATATATTGATGTGAAAATAATTCTGTATGCAGAATAGGGATTTCAGGGTTTCATTTTTTTGATAATTGGGTTTCAGAATAATTAGCGAATCAATCAGTGAATGAACAAACACTGTAGAGATGAAGAAAACAGGAACAACATTGGATCGATGATGACCGCTGGTGGCGTATGAGTCGTATACGATGAATACGTGTCTGGAACTCTGAGGTCCAATGCAGGTGGATCTGGTGCACTGTCCCCATGCCCCCCTTTTGAGTGGTCCTTCAGACACATGCCAAGAATATATAAGGATCTTCTTTTAGCCTTTACATTCGTGCATTTTCTATTTTTATTATAATTAGTTCAATGAAATAATAAATACATAGAGAAAGATGTAGTGGAACATTGTCCAATTACTAAAATAGGTGGTTAGTAAGAAATACTGTTACTGTATCTTAAAACAAATACCTATTGTTGAAGATACATATGTATCTTTTCTTTGACTACAGTTGATACAGTTATTCCTACGTATTAGTCAGTATTCGTGTTTTCTGTCAAGGACAAGATCAATATTTTCCATTCACTTAAGAAAAACAAAATGTACATTATCCCAAACCACTGCCTACCTAAATGATGGACTGAGTGAAAGGTGGGATACAGGGACGAAGGAACGTAAGGTCTCAATCTTTTATCCCCTGCTCTGTCTTGTACTCCTTAGAATGGTCACCGTCAGCTGATGGAAGCGATCTACCCTAGTCGCCAGCTTCATGGTCGAATCTGTGGGTGATAGCGTGGACCCCGGTGAGTAAGAGTCAAAATTCTTTTCTTGGTTTGGTGGTTTTTCAAAATTGTTTTCACTCCATTACTAGAAAGTGTGAAATACAATCAGTGATCGGCCAAACGTACTTAAAAAGAAATACCATGTTAATATGAAGCATTATGTTAATAATCTTTGTAGGAAATTTTTGTATCAATTGTACTTCAGTTAAAAAAAATCAATGGTAGGATAAATGTAAATGGATAAATTTGAAGAGGGTAAAACACTTTATTATTAAGATATATAATAAGGAAATATAATTGGAACGGAAAATAAAACGATCAGGTGTATATGTCTTAAGTGAGAATGATAGACATTAATAAGTAATAGATATTGATTGAGTCCATTAAAATTTGACATTTGATTTGTTAAGAGGAAAACAAATATTACCATTATTAAATGTCCAGTTGACCATGCAAACAAATAATGGAAACTATGAGTCAATGGAGGGAAAGTCTCAACATTTTCTCTGCTTAGTACTCTTCAGAATGGATGCTGGAACCAATTTCTGCTTCGGCCTCATTAAATAGTCATTGTGCCACTGTATGGAGAGACCAAGGTGAGTAATGGTCAAAGCTGTTGTCTTGGATTGGGTCATTTGTTTAAGGGTATTTATGGTATTATTAAAAATTATTAAATTAATTTAAAAGTATACCATGACCTAATGACCTAAAAAGTGTACCATGACCTAAATATGACATGAAACATCATATTGATTGATCTAGAATGTGCAAGACTGAGGTTTGTTAATGAAATACAGAGTCTGTGTGGGAAAAGATTCTGTAAAGTAATGTTAGGGATATTTAAGAATCTGTTCTAGTGTTTTTTAATGAAGCATGTGCTATTATTGTTATTAATGAATTCATCATCTAATCGATGCTAATGTAGAAACAAAACCAGACTCAGTCATGACCAATGATGATGACTGGAAGCTTGGCAGTCAAGGACGAAGAATATGTGTCTGAAACTGGGAGTTCCTGGGTGGGTTATGATCCCTCTGTTTCTTCCACTGAAATTGTTTCCATGAAGAGATGTCAGGAATATACAAAAGTCATATTTTGTATTGATTTCATAGTTATAGATTAGTTATTGTTAATGGAATAATGATGGATGTGTTTAAAGAAGTACAAATAAACATCTTAAGAAGGTGAGCCATGGTTCAGTCATGATGTATGTGCTGAGGCAAGAGATACCATTAATAAGTTTAAAACCATTGATACCCATTAAGAAACCAGTAGGGTCAGATGGCTAAGGGTCCACGTGGGCCATGATGAAGAAGACTGAATTTTATTTTTTTGGGTCAGTCTTTAGATTGTTTTATGCTTTTGCTAAGATTAAAAAAAATACGTATTAGGGAAAAGTAATGAATACCTAATTACTGCAATTCAGAAAGCAAGGATCAGTGGCAATTAGGTCTCATTTTTTTTTTCCCCTACCGTCGATTCTGCTCTCTGTTCCTCAGAATGATGCACTTGAGCTGAATTAGCATCTTCAAGATCCAGAGCTCTGTGGCTGCTTCTGTATGATAGGACAGAAATTAATGTGAGTAACAGTTGAGATGATTTTCTTGGTTCCAGTGTTGTTTTTTGAGATTAAAGAATGTGACTGTATCTCAGTGGAAATATGGGATATAGTTAACATTATTTTGATTAATCCATACAAGAAAAACAGGTCATTATGATACATCTATTGAAGTGAGAATAATTCCATAAATAAATGACAGACATAAAGACTCTTCTTGAGTTTTTATGAATGATAGCATTTAAAATTGTTGTTAATGAATTAATTCCATTATCAGAAAACCCATAGAACTGAATGCAGAAAAAGAGGGACGGTGTCGGATCGATGATGACACTGAGTCTATGAGTGATATGTGATGAACATGTGTCTGGAACTCTGAGGTCCAACATGAAAGAGATGTCGTTCATTATATCTGCTTGAACTGACTCTTTAAACTGTACGTCAGGAAGCTACAAAAAGAAATAACAGTATCGTAATTTGGAACGGACCATAAATGGACCGTTTTGTCAAATGCGTTTTGTCCTTGATGAAAGGATGGTATTGAACCGTATAAGTAACAGTTACTGTTGTCAGTTTCAAGTTCGACATTTGATATATTAAGAAAAGTATATTAACATCATAAATTCTTGAATAAATGGATGGCATAATCTGTGGACCAAGGGAGAAACGTCTTAATTTTTTATCATCTGTTCTGCTCTTTACTCCCAGAATGGACACACTTGAGCATACTTAAGGATTCATCTACAGTCAGTGATCTTTATGTTTGCATCTACCTGTTAGGAGTGTGGAGATCAGTGTGAGTAATAGTCAACATTCTTGTTTGGTCTGAGTGGTTCAAAGAAGGCCAGCCATACCAGTTTACAATATCAGATGGATTTGAGGCATTAAAATGATTAGCAAACACTAAGTGCAGTTAATGAAAATGATTTAGTCTGTTTATATATGATATTTTGGATGAATGTTAGGGATGGTGAAGGATCTTATTTCCTGGTGTGATTTGTATCTATTTCTTGATTAATGAATTAGTCAATAAAGAAATGTAGTTGAGAACGGGCGGAAAGACAGCCTATCCTGGACCAGTGATGATGACTGGGGGTCCAAGAGTCATGGATGGTGAATCATAGGAGTGTGGGACTCTGAGGGCCAGTACGGAAGGAATCTAGTCTATTCCCCATATTTTAAGTCATACCATAGGCAGATTTCAGGGTTATACAGTGAGTTTTTTCTTGGTCTTTGTGTTCATGAATTATAAAAATATAATTATGAAAGAATGAATGGCAGAATAAATTAGCAAATGTATAAATGAATAAAGATGAAGAGGGCAAAGCTTTGTTCATTACTAAAATATCTAGTCAGGAAAATGAATATTAATATTCACTGGAGTGGATGATAAATGGACCGAGGGCATTACATCTTTGAATAAGGGTGACATGGATCGTGGTACGTAGTAGTACAGGCCTGGGTCAGTTTCAAGTTTGATTACTATTGTGTTGAGAGAAAGATAAATAAATTTTACTATAAATAAATACCTATATGACATGTACATTAAGTATGGAAAGTGTAGATCAGTGGAAAGAATGTCTCCGTCTTTTTACCATCTTTTCTGCTTGATACTCTTCAGAAACAAGCTGACTTAAGTATTCTTCTGTCACCAAAACTGTCACATTATCTCTGTTTTCAGAAAGACACCAAGGTAGAGTAAGAGTCAAAGTTCTTGTCTTTTTTTTTTTTTTTGGTCATTTGTGTGAGGCACTCACTGTATTTTAAAGTATTAGATCTAATTTAAAAGGTTATCTATGGCCCATTGATTAATGAGATATGAAACATTGATTAATAATGTGCAATGTTGAAGTCACTTAATGAAAAAGATACTGTGTATTGAGAAATATTTCTATTGATAGATGTTAAGGATGGGATTCAGGGATCTTATTCTTGCGTTTTCATGAATCCTGTATATTTTATTATTATCAGTGAATTAATGATTCCATACAAATTTAGAAATGAATGAGGAAAATAAGGAGGCTTCATATGGCCCATTGATGATGACTGGTGGCTTTGAGTCAGGGACAGTGAATAAAATGTATCTGGAATTCTGAAGTCCAGTACAAAATGTAATTAGTCTGTTTATCTCTTCTTCTGGAAATGGTCCTAGAAGCACAGGTCAGAAATGTACAAATACCATAGTCTTATTTTAGATTCCTAGATTTTGGGTTACTATGTATGGATCATTGACAGAACAATTAAACAAATAAAAATAAACGGATCAAAAGAAGAGGGCAAAGCATTGTCCAGCTATGGACTTACATGGTAAGGCAGAAAATAGTAGTAATAGAAATTGAAAACACCTATACCCATTAAGGCATAAATAGAAAAAGAATTTTACCTCTTTAGTTTAGGATCATATAGACACTGATATTTGAACGTCAAGTTTGGTTGTACAGGATCCATTCCAAATCGGAGGTTCTTCTTTTGTTAAGAGCTAAATATATATACATTATGAAAAATTAATAAATACCTTAGTAATTGAGTAAGTGAAATGTAGAAAACAAAAGTTATAGAGGATATGGTCTCAATTTTTATTATTTATTGACAGAGACACAGTGAGAGAGGGAACACAAGCAGGGGGAGTGGGAGAACCAGGTTTCCTGCTGAGCAGGGAGCCGGATAGGGGCTCAGTCCCAGGACCCGGGGATCCTGACCTGAGCGGAAGGCAGACGCTTAACTGGCTGAGCCACCCAGGCACCCCTGGTCTTTTTCTTATGGGAAAAAAAATCAAATATACTCAAAATAATGATTGCCAAAATGACCAACCAGGGTAAAAAGCGAGGTAAATGGAGACAGTTTCTCGATTTTGTTATCATCTGCTGTGATGCTCTATACTCCTTAGATGGCCACTCTTGACCTGATTTAAGGATTCTCCCAAGGTCACTAACCGTATGGTTGCATCTTTGTGTTAGGAGCATGGGGAACAGTGTGAGTAGGAGTCACAGTTCTTGACTTAGTTCGAGTGGTTTTTTAAGAAAATTATTCACTGCATTATTAAAAAGTATTGAATATAATCAAAGAAGGTCAACCCTGGTGATGTTTAGTATCAGATTGATACGAACCATTGCATTTTTTAGTCCATACCTGAAACACTGAGTTGAGTTAAATGAAGGAGATTTAGTCTCTGGATGAATGATTCTAGAGGTGGATGTTAGGGGTTATTCAGGAACCTTATTCTTTGTGTGTTTGTGATTTACCTGCATTTCTTTATTAATTCATGAATAAACAAATGTAGACGAGAAAGAAGATGGGCAGTCATGGTCCAGTGGTGATAACTGGTGGCGTTTGAATCATAGGCAATGAACAGAACACCTCACGTGTAGAACCCTGAGGTCCAACACAAAAAGGCTAGTCCATTCACCGTATTTTAAGACCGTTGATAGATTTTAACATTCTGCAGTCATCTTTTTCTTGGTCTTTGTGTTCATGAATTTTAAAAATATGATTATAAAAGAATCAATCACAAGAATAAATTTGCAAATGTATGAATGAATAAAGATGAAGAGGGGGAAACATTGTTCATTACTAAAATATATCATCAGGGAAATGAATATTAATATTCACTGGAGTGGGTGATAAATGGACCCAGTGCATTACAGCTCTGAGTAATGGTGACTTGGGGGCTGATAGGTGGTCGTCAGTAGCACCCTGGGTCAGCTGAGAGTTTGATGTTTATAGTACGGAGAGGAAAATAAATATCACTGTACATTAATAAACACTTAAGTGACTATGTACATGAACGATGAAAACCGTGCGTCAGTGGGGAGAAGGTCTCATTTGTTTTAATCATTGTGTCTTCTTGGTACTCCTCAGAATGGATGGACTGAGCTGATTTTAGCTTTTGCCATAATTAAGATTATATTGTCTCTGTGTCGGAAAAGAGAGCAAAGTGAGTAATAGTCAAAGATGTTAGCTTGGTTTTAATCATTGGTTTAAGAGTATTCCTAACATGTATCTAATAGATCACATCAAACCACATCACCATTGTTAAAAAGTATTAAACAGAGGGGTGCCTGGGTGGCTCAGTGGGTTAGGCGTCTGCCTTCAGTTCAGGTCATGATCCCAGGGTCCTGGGATGGAGTCCCACATCCTGCTCTCTGCTCAGCAGGGAGCCTGCTCCCTCCCCTTACCCCCTCCCCGCCCCCCCCTCGCCTGCCTCTGCCTACTTGTGATCTCTGTCTGTCAAATAATTAAAATCTTTTTTTAAAAAAAGTATTAAACAGAATAAAAAAGTTATCCATGGCACAAAAATAGATATAATAGGAATCATTTTGTTGATTAAACAAAAAAAAAATGGAAAAAACCTAGAATATGGGAAAGGATTGTATAGAACAGCATTAAGGATATTTAGGGATCTTGTGCTCATCTTTTCTTGAATAAATGTATCTTTTATTAATATCTATGAATTAATGATTTAATTGAGGACACATGTAAAACACATGAAGAAAGTGTGGGTCTAGCATGGACCAGTCATTGTGATTGGTGCTGTAGGAGTTGTGCGTGACTGATACGTGTGAGGTTCAACATGATACCTAGTCTATTTCCTGTTTGACGTGCTCTGTTAGACACGTGTTAGGAACAGACAGATACCATGTCCTCATTTTAGACTCATAGATTTAGGGTCACTATTACTAACGAATCAATGTTAGAACCATCAAACAAATAGAGATAAGAAGGTCACGTGTTTTTCAGTTATAAACCTATGGGGTGATCAGGCAAAAAATTTTGCTAAAAATTGAAAAAAATGATGCTCATTAAGAAATAAAGGGATTAAGAATGTTATCTCTGTGGTTGAAGGTCACATAGATACTGTTTGGGAAGAGTCAGTGTTGCTGTTCTGGATCAGATCCAAGTTTGAGGTTGTTCCTTTTGTTAAGAGAAAAAAAATTTATGGAAAATTAATAAATATATCAATGAGTAATTGAAATGCAGTAATCAAGGACCAATGACGGTAAGATCTGTTTCTTTTTCTTTTTTTTTAAAGTAATCACCTGTTCTCTGTCCTCTTCAGAGTGGACCCATTTGGGCTGATTCAGCACCTTCCGCGGTCACAGGCTCTGTGGTCGCATACGTGTGCTGGCAGCGTGGAGACCAGGGTGAGTAGCAGGCAAAGTGTTTGTCTTGGTTTGGGAGGTTTTTAAAGAGTAATCAGTGTGTTATTAAAAAGATGGCCGATTGTACAGTTAAAATAAATGTATGATCGAGGTGGTGCCTTTTATTATTACACATATGTAAAGCCAAGGTTAAGGGAAGAGATTGATGTGAGAATAATTCGCCATACAGATTAGGGACATAAAAACTCTTCTTGGGGTTTTGTGAATCATGGTGATTACACATTATTGTTCGTGCATTCACGGTCAAGAAACAAAGAGAAATGAATGACGAAAAGGAGGGACAGTACTGGATCGATGATGACCGCTGGTGGCGTATGAGTCGTGTACGATGAATACGTGTCTGGAACTCTGAGGTCCAGCAGGAGAGAAATCGAGTCCCTTCTCTTTGCTTAAAGCGATTGTCCATACAGAGGTCAGGGATACACAAAGATTTTTTTGGTCTTTTTGCATGCTCATGGTTTTTCAATCCATTATTATTATTGGATAAATGAATTGAGAGAAAGAAAGAGAAAAAGACAGAGTGAATGACAAGTCGAGTGAAGCATTGTCCAGTTATAAAAATATGTGACCAGGCAAGAAATGCTGTGGATATATATTGAAAACACTGAAGTCCAACAGCATATGACTATTGCCTCTTAGGTTAGGGAGAATATAGACAGTATAAATTATGGACAGTTTTTATGTTTTGGGTCCGTGGCAAGTTCAGAATTATTTTCTTAAGAGAAGATGAAATAAATACACTCGAAATTAACAATTGCACACATGGCTGTCCAAATTAAAGAGGAAAGGCAAGGATCAGTGGAGAGATGAGATGGCATAATTTTTTTTATCATCTGTTCTGCTCTGTACTCCACAGAATGGGCTCACGTGAGCTGATGTAAGCATCGTTCATGGTGTTGAGCTCCTGGTTCCATCTGTTTGTTAGGGGCATGGAGACCAATGTGAGTAATAATTAATGGTCTTGTATTGTTTGGGGTTAAGAGTACTGTGTGTAATGAGTTTCGAAATAAACTCAAATAAGACCAACTGTAGCCCAGTGGCAAATACAGGGTAGATCGGAAGCATTATATCAGTGGGTGTGTCTACGAAAACCTGAAGATGCTGATGAAGGAGATACATTGATAAGACAGTGATTCTGTATACAGATATTAGAGCTATCAGGGCTCTTTCTCAGTTTTGTGAGTCATAGGGTTTAAAAGTATAGTTAGTGAGTTAGCAAATTAATCAGTAAGTATCGTAGAAAGGAAGGAAGAGAAAGTGGACTAATCTTGGATCGATGATGACGGCTGGTGGCGTATGAGTCTTAAACGATGAATGCTACGTGTCTGGAACTCTGAGGTCCAACCCAAAAGAAATCTAGTCCATTCTCTCTTTTTGAAAAGATTCTAGAAAACAGATATCAGAAGTATACAAGGATTTCACTTTGGTCTATATGTTCATGTGTTTTTAAACTTGTTACAACTGGATCAGTGAAAGAACATTGAAAATGTGTTGGTAAAGGTGAATAAGGTTAAGCCTTGTCCAGTTATAAAAATATATGAGAAGGCAAGATAAGCTGTTGATATTTATTGAAAAATCTGATATTCACCAGGAAGCAAATACTCCTTGACTAAGGATGATACAGACAGTGTTACCAATAGTCAGTGCCCCTGTTCTATGCGGGTGACAAGACCTATACCGTTTACTTAAGAGAAGATAAAATGTTCTCTCAAATAAGTACCTCCATGACTGACTCAATAAAAGATGGAACTCAAGGGCCAATACAGATAATGTCTTAACCTTTCTTTATCTCTTCCTGTGCTCTGTAAGCCTTGGAAAGGACGCCCTTGAGCTGACGTAAGCATCCTTCAGGGCCGTGAATGCCATGGTTACACCTCCGCGTTAGGAACATGGAGACCAATGTGAGTAATAGTCAAGGTTGTTGTCTTGGTTTCAGTGTTTGCC